TATATATACCAGTAGGTACGGCCCGAAATAACTTATACCTTCTCCTACGCGAAAAAGGACCATTTTCACGTCCTGTTCCATTTGCAAGTTCTGTCTAATTCATGTTTCACTTTTCCTAGATCTTCTTTTAGGACTTTGATTAGTTCATCCTTTTTATACAATTCATCCTTCATATTTCCTAGGTTTTCCTCTATAGTGAGATATGTGTGATCAGCTTTCTTCTTTCCAGTTCCTAGTTTCAATTTTAAGTTTTCAGACCTAAGTTCTAGGACACTGTTATCAAGTTCAAGAACCTGGTTCTTCAACTCAGCATTTGTGTTATCACTCTCATTAGCCCTAGACTCTAGACTTTTGCATTTTGCTTTTAGGATCACACATTCCCTAGACAGAACTTCCTTCTCATTGTTAATTATCTCAGACTCATCAATGAAGTCTAGTAATAGCTCAGCCAACCTTTCTTTAGACAAAAATTTAATCTTGTCTTTGAGATGAAGAATACTTACCTCTTGTTCATCATCTGATTCTCCGATGACCATCAGTGCTTGCTCTTCTTCAGCTTCATCTTCTGAGTCTTCATCTGAGGTTTCTCCCCAAGCAGCAACCATATGCTTGGTTGAACCTTTGTTCCTTTTTGGTTGAACCTGTTCCTTCTTCCTGTTCCTTCGTTCAGCCCTTTCTTTCTTCCACTCAATTTCCCATTGAGGACAGTTCTTGATCATGTGATCAGTCTTACCACACTTGTAGCAACCCTCATTGGTCTGTTTCTCAGGAGCTCTTGTCTTGTTGAAGGTTGTACCTCTTGAAGAACCCTTTCCTCTCATCAAGTACTTTTTGAAATCTCTAGTGATCATAGCCATCTCAACATCTTCCAGATCTGAACCTTCAGCAATTCTGAGAGCTAAGCTTCTCTCCTTCTTGGGTGTATCCATCTTCATGGCTTGCCTTCTCATTTCATAAGCAGTAAGATTTCCAATCAGTTCATCCAGTCTGAGAGTAGCAATATTCTTGGATTCGTGAATGGCAGTGATTTTGCTTTCCCATGTGACTGACAGAACCCTTGTCAGAATTTTCTCAACCTTGTCTTCTTCAAGAATTATCCTTCCAAGAGATTTAAGTTCATTTGTTAGTGTAGTGAACCTAGTATACATTTCTTGAATTGTTTCTCCTTCCTTCATGGTGAAGTTCTCATATTGAGAATACAACAGTGTTCCTCTGGACCTCTTTACTTGAGGTGTTCCTTCATGAGCCACTTGCAAGGTGTCCCAGATTTCCTTAGCAGTGGTACAACTTTGAATTCTGCTGTACTTATCAGGACCTAGCCCACACACAAGCCATTTCTTGGCTTTAGTATTTTTCTCCCACTTCCTCAGATCTTCAGCAGTGCAGTCAGCCCTTGTCTTTGGCACATCAACTCCTTCAGCATTCTTCTTTGTGGTTGCTAGGGGACCATCAGTGACTATGTCCCAGAGTTCATAGTCTTCCCCTATGATGTGATCTCTCATCCTGTTCTTCCACCAAGAATAGTACTGACCATTGAAAAGTGGAGGCCTAGCAGTGGATTGCCCTTCCCAGTTTCCAGGTGGTGCACTCATGTTGATCTTCTCCTAAGGTGTTAGCCTCTTCAAGGATAACCCGCTCTGATACCAATTGATGTTCTAAACGTTAATACCACACAAGAGGGGGGGGGGGGGGTGATTTGTGTGGTACCCAATTTTCGCTCTAGAAGAACCTGGTTCTTCTAGGTGTACTTACTACTACTGTTTGCGGAATTAAGAGTACATAAAATAAAGAACACAGAGATTTTTACGTGGAAAACACCTGGCTCAAAAGGTGAAAAAACCACGACCTACTACTCAGTAGGATTTTTCCAAACTTCCACTAAAATCACCGAGCCAAAACAGCATTTACAAAACTCTTGTAAACCTAAGGATTAAACTCTAATCCCAGTGTGGCACACAACCTCAACTGTTGCGACACCTTCACGTTAACTCTAACTTGAATACTCAAAGTACCTAATACAATTGCTTCTATGAAAGCTGGAAAGGTACACCTTTAAAACACCTACTACAATTGAACTAGAATTAAAGAAAGACACAATGGAATTGGTTCTTCTATCTTGTCCAAGTAGCTTCAGGAATGCACACTTGAATCTCACATAAATTGCTTGCAAAATTGCCTCGCTCTTTTGCTCTCAATTTAGTTTAACTTCTGCATTTGTGAAATACCTGTAAAAGAGAAAAATCATTGTTATTTAATGATTTAGTAATCAGAGTTTGATTGAGACTCAATTGCTGATCTTCCATCGTAGTTGAGTCCTTGAACAATACAAACTCCAACCCTATCCCTTATCCGGATTGTGTCCTCTTCCTATGAGGAGACTTTCTCTCCTCCTCCAGTATGCAACCTTTTCGATTAGTTCAGGAGATATTGCTGCTTGATCACTGAGACTTATCTCCTTCACGTGTATCTCACATGTCTAGGTTGATAAATACTGTGCCTCACATGATGGACCTGGTCCATGACTGAGTTCATTTGTCATTCTTTAAAACTTCACATGAACACAACCGCGTACTGTCAAGACCTTGTCCTTAAATAAACCTCTATGTATTTACCCCTCTTGTACTGCTTTGAAAAGTGTTTGATTAATCTCTTTCCTTAATTAGTTTTACCCGTTTGAAATCAGAATCCCTTAATTAAAGGGAAACCTTATGTAATTGATTTTCAAACTATTTTCTTACCTATTTCTGCTTGCTTTCTACACTATAAAAGGCACGTCCCTTTCTACACAATAGACAGGGTTAATTCAGCATTTTTACACTTTAGATTTCACACTTACAATCTCACAAAACTCATACTTGGGGTATTCTTGCTTCTTGTCTGCACTTTGGCTTTACAAGACTACTGCTTTCTTTTGCTTGATTACTTGAGACTGGTATGTTCTAGTTTTGGTTTCAGCATCACCCCCAATGTGTTTTACTTACAGCCTTTACATCCATGTTTACTTTACTGTCTGTATGGTGTTTAATGTCGACTAGCATGTTAATTTCCTTTCATCTATTTCTGCTGTGAATCCCTACACCCCTTCTTCCCTCTATGTGCTTTGAGTTGTAGTTCAGAACATGACAATATGCAAGTTATTGTTCATGTTTTGACCTGATCCCTTTGGGGATCCTAACTCCCAAAACAATGTGTTCTAACGGGCTGGTGGGGTGTGCCAGCATTTCCTATTGCTAGGTATGCCCACTAGCCTGTCTTTGTCACTTCCCTTTTCCCCTTTTCAGAATTCCTTCTATGCACTTACACTCACTCCTAGTTTCTAAGTTCTGCCCCCCTCCTGTGAGCCATGCCTTGGGACCTTGAGTTCCATCTGAACTTGGACACTTGAGAGCTGGCCTTTCCACATTGCACTATGACTCAGTCTTGCAATGTATTTGGGTGTGAGCACTGCCCAGAGTCCATGAGGCTCTTACGGAACTCTGACACACCCCAAATGAGAAAGGCTTTGGATCTTGGTCATTGGAGTTGGTTTACTTCTTGCTTCAGGCAGGAAACCTGAATCAGGCTCTCCTTGGTTGTAATTTATTTTTTATGATGTAATTTCTTTATTTTATTTTGGCCTGTAACAATTTTGTAATAAACTTCTGGGGTGATTAGTGAAAAGGGGAAGGGTAACCATGCATGCAAAGGGGTAGATATCGTGTTCATAGGGAATATTTACACTTTTACACTCATGTATCCTGTTTTCAGCTTTCACTTCTGCATCTCATATAGAGACCATGTCTATAGGTTTCTGCACTTCTGCATTTCTATAGAGACCATGTCTATAGGTCATTTTTGAAATGCTGCATATCATATAGATACTATGCCTATAGGACTTCCTGAATTTTGCATCTGCATCTGTCACTAGGCAAACCTGTTTATAGGTTTAAATAACTAACATCATTTTAGATACCATGCCTATAAGACTTCTGCACTCTTGTTTTGATTAAAAAAAATGTTTTAAATCAGTAACGCCTAGAAGGCATGCCTATAGGAACCATAAACTAAATCTGAATCGTCCATTCGTTTATGAGTCTAAAATCAGTAGCAGCAATAATGACTGCAGAATTTATATTCCTGTAATTGACAATTTCTTTCCCTTTAAATCAGTATACTTCTTTTCTGAAACTAATAGATATCATGCCTATAGGTTTTCGTTTAACACTTAGGCAAGCCATAAGGTAAACTTATAAATTGAATCAGATTTTATTAACTACAACCAGCATGCATGCCTGATTCGGGATTCTTATCTGAAATATGTAATAGATCAGTCTACCACAACTCTTAAGTTTAATCAGACCCTAATCAGTACGTGTAAGACATGCTAAACTATATGCTTCTCTTTGTTTTAAGGAGGTCTATTTGAGACTTTCTATCTGTTATGTGCTTCTCCCCAAATTTGCTATATATGTGTTTTGATTGTCGCCTTAGAATTTCGTCCTTTGAAACTATAAAACCTCACATCCCTTCCCTTTAGTATTAGTAGTCCCAAATACCTTTGGGACTGATAGGATTGGGGCGGGTAATAGCATGCAATAAGTAAAACGAGACCGTTCCGCGTTTAATACCTTAACGGGATGGGAAAGGGTAGATATGGATATGATGACCACGCGATAACACCACGTGTATAAACGGTTACCGGGTGTTGTGTGGGGTGATCCATATTATTTATAAACCTAGGACCCTCCTCCCTTTACTCGTTTATTTTATTTCAAAACTGCTTTTTTTTCTCAAATTCCAGTTTCTTTGACTGCTTTTAACTGCAATTACTTGCAACAATTATGTGAAAACCCCTCCGCCCTCATATTTGTAACTCCTATTTGTCCATTTGTTGTTTGCACTTAAAGTCACAATTATAGTTTGGCCGGGAACCACACTAGTGGATCTTGAGGGGTGCCTAACACCTTCCCCTCGGGATAATTTCGAGCCCTTACCCAATCTCTGGTTTTCTAAATCAAAATTCTTCTTAGTGTCCTAATGCACTTAATCATTAGGTGGCGACTCTTCAATTCAAACCCAATTCCCAAAAGGAAACGAGTTGTCCTCCCAAATGTCATAAACCCGATTTCGCGAGAAAAAGGGGGCATCGACAGGCATGAGATGCCTTTGAATAACATCCTGGAAGTTGAGATTTTGATGTGTGGGGGATAGATTTTATGGGACCATTCCCATCGTCCAGAGGAAACAAATACATTTTGCTAGCAGTTGACTACGTGTCAAAATGGGTGGAGGCAATTGCCTTGCCAACAAATGATGCCATGGTGGTAGCTGCGTTTGTGAAATAGAACATATTTTCGAGGTTTGGGACCCCACGTGACATAATTAGTGATGAGGGGACTCATTTTTGCAATCGGTTGTTGAATAACCTGCTATCTAAATATGGAGTTCGCCACAGAGTTGCTACAACATATCATTCACAAACAAGTGGGCAAGCTGAAGTGTTAAACAGAGAAATAAAGCAAATATTAGAGAAGACGGTGAGTGTGAATAGGAAGGATTGGGCTGCAAAGTTAGATGATGCCTTACGGGCGTATAGAACTGCATATAAAATGCCAATTGGGGCGTCCCCTTATAAGCTTGTTTATGGGAAGGCATGTCACTTGCCCGTTGAACTTGAACACAAAGCATACTGGGCCATTAAGAAGCTGAACATGGACCTTGAAGTTGCGGCCGAGAAAAGGCTTTTGCAGTTGAATGAGTTAGATGAATTCAGGCTGCACTCCTATGAAAATGCTAAGCTTTATAAAGAAAAGACAAAAAGATGACATGACAAGCACATCAAGCCGCATCACTTCGAGCCAGGCCAACAGGTATTATTATTCAATTCTAGGCTAAGGCTATTTCCTGGAAAGCTAAAATCGAGATGGTTAAGCCCATTTGAGGTGGTGAGAGTCACTCCTTATGGTGCAATTGAGATGCGAGCTTTAAACGGTGAAAGAAAATTTTTGGTGAATGGACATAGAGTCAAGCACTATTGGGGAGGAATAATTAATCGTGAGAAGACCAAGGTTGTACTCGCTGATGAGTAAGCGAGACTCTGCGTCGTGCCGCGTTGTTAAATCAAGCGCTTGTCGGGAGGCAACCCAATTTTTATTGCTTTCCTAGTTTAACTTCTTAATTTTTTTTAGTTAGAGTAGATCGAGTTTGCATTTTCTTTGTAGGTGTAGAAATTATAGATATAATGGTATATGACGTGTAAATTGAGTATATAAAGGTTCGGGGGATTGGGATGTCTTCAAAAAAAATCCTCGAAAACAACGCCCAGGCCAGTGCCCAGCGCTGCCTGGGGCGCTGAAGGCAGAATGCTCAAATCCCCTAGCGCCAGGTATAGCGCTGAGCGCTGGGCTGGGGGTCCAGGTAATATTATTATTATTATTATTATTATTTTCTTTTTTTTTTCTCTCTTATTTATTCAATAACCCATACCCACTTAACCCAACCCAAATACCCATTTACGCTAACACTCTAACCCATTCTAATACCCACACCCATCCCCAACCCAACTTAACCATAACCAAAACCCACCCAAACTCCAAATTAACAAAATCAGACAAACACAAAAACAAAGAACAAAAAAAAAAAAACGCTACACTCTTCTCTCTGCTGCTTCTGCCGCATTCCTCTTCTTCTACTTCACAAAATTTTCTCAAAGTTTTTCTCTTGCTCTCTTTCTACACTCTACAGGTAAGTTATTCTTTCTTTTCTTCTTCTTCTTCTTCTTCTTCTTCTTCTTGTTTGTATGTTGAATTGTTAGATAACAATGTACATCCCATCCCCAAGAGCCCTAATCCCCAATTTTTTTCCCTATGTAGTTCTTATGAAATTTTTATGGTGGGTGGCTTGAGTTGGTTGAAATTGTGTGGTTAGCGTGTATACGGAGTAGTAAACTAGAATTCCCTCTACTTCATTGAAATTTGGGAGGGCCACCATATTCCACCATTGTTGAATTAGAAGCACACACTTTATGCCCATAAGGTGTTTGTTAAAATGCTTGAATGAAGATTTTGGTGTACCGGTAAAGTCTGAGTAACCGGGTATATTTGTGTATGAATTTGGGCTAAGTGTGGGGTGTGTAGGGATGCTTTTACATGCTAGGGGGTTTGGCTTTGATGCAAAACATGTTCCTACATTATCTATCTTATATAATTTATGTTGTAGAATCTTGTAAATTTAACTAATTTAGTGTAGTCTAGTAGTTGTGGAAAGGTGAGTACCATATGCCTTTTGCTTACCTTAATGTGAATTCACGTAGCCATGATCAATCACTATTGTGTGGCATGGGGAAGTCTTGAGTACCCATAGCTTTGGAGTGCAACACTTGTACATGTTAGATAAAAAATTGTGAAGTAGTGTACATTGTGCCTTCGATTTTTAGTGTGGGGTCATTTCATGACTTGCACGACAACCTTAGGCATATTTCGTGACAAGTTCTCACATTCATGCTTATTTGTGTTGCAGGATATTATGGCTCGTGATGGTTCTAGCAAAGGCAAGGGCACTGGAAAGTTCTCTACCACTTCCCCAGCGCCCAAAAAGCGAAAGTAGGGAGAAAGCTCTTCACGGCAATCCAAAGGAAAACAGGTTGCTGAGGCATCACAGCAAGCTCCATTACCCCCACGGCCTCGGTTGAAGCTAGTATATGATGCAGCTATTGCATGGCACAGGGATTTCGTGCCATATGGGCGGTATGTCTCCGAGATTGGGATCAATATCAAAGCTTTGGAATGAAACTTCCCAGATGTCCTCGGCCAATTACGAGCATTAAAAATGGACAAACTCCTAGAATGCCGTGGACACACAAATTTGAGCATGGTTAGGGAATTATATGCTAATTGGAATTACAAGTTGTCTAGGTCGCATGTACGTGGCGTGGACATGCCATTGGATAGGAGGGCGTTATGTGATTTTTTGGGGGTTGAGAATGTTGACCCGAGGAGGCTCCAAAAATTTGTCACGAGCCCCAAATACACCTTGATACGTGATACTCTTTGTGGCATGGATTCCAATCAAAGTGGATCAAGAAGCACGACGATGTTCACCTCTCGATGGTTCGCTCTGATTTTAACAAGACTGCCAAAGTGTGGCAGAATTTTGTGCAAGCCAGACTCATGCCAGTAGAGCACAACAGCGACTCGAGCTAGAGTGTGTGTCATATTCTTCTTGATGACTGGCAATCCCATTAATGTGGGTGAAATTATGCTCGGTGAGATGGCCCGCACGAGATTTGGGCGGCAAATTAAGAGGTTCTTCTTTGGCAACCTACTCACCCGATATATGCTCTCCCAGGAGGCGCCGGAGTAACCTGGACATGATGAGGTGGTGGAGGCTCCGTCAGGGCTTTTGGACATCACATCTCTGTTGGAGACGTCGTTAAAACTCACTCCCGCAGCACGGATTGAACGAGATGAGAACTTCAATAGGTACCTCTATAATTCTCTAAATTTACTCATGAGCAGGGCTGGTATTTCAGACGAGGAGCGTATGCATTTACGCAATGACTTGTCAAGTTCGTCCAAGGAGATGTTGGGGATTGCACCTGGCAGCCCCGTTCACTCATCGTAGGACGTCAACACTGTCAAGGGCTTGGACTTAGAGGATGAGGTTGGTGATGATGTTACAGGGCTCATGGCTTTGGTGCCCCTAGGACCGGATGATGATGTGCCCAGAGCTGCTGCTGGAGGGCACGCTGAGGAGGAGGACTCCGACTGACAGGGAGTTTTCTTTTCACCCTACTCTGTTTTTACATTTTTATATGCATCGAGGGCTATGCATAGTTTAAGTGTGGGGTGGGAGGAATATTACCTGTCCCGTAGATGTATATCTTGTATCAACTTGTTTTAATTTATTTCTTTAACCAAAAGAAAAAAAATATAAAAATACAAAAAAGAAAAAAAAATTGAAAAAGCTCGGACTTTTCCCGACGACGAATCTTTTGGACAATTTTCTTGAGGGATAAAGTCCGATTAAAAATACCAAAAAGTTTTTTTTATAGTTAGGTAGTATTCCTTGGTTTTTCTTTGGGCGCCGGTTCTTTTCCAAGGATGTAGCTCGAACCGGGTACTTGATTTTTCTTTTTTAGGAGTAGTTTAGGAAGAAACTGAGTTGCTCTGAGATACTCATTGACATGGTTGGTGCTGGCACATTAGGCTATGACATACATTCCATCTTTCCGTGTATTTTGTTTGGATTATGATGTCTAAGTGAAGTAAATAGCCTATTTTGTGACGCTTTCTCTCAGTTGTTTGCCTTGTATGCTACATAGTGCAATATTTCTTAAATTCCTCAATTATGTGTGCTTGCTTGACTTGAGAGTTGAACAGAACCATCATGATTGAGTCATGTGCAACGTGTGTGTGAGGATTTGTGGTTTTCTGTGCTATCCTGTGTAGTCTAGAACTTGCCCCGTGTGTTAATTGAAGCGAAATTGTAAGTTGTGCTAATCTAGGAGATGACGTAGGCATTTTCTTGCTTGATCATAGATGTGCTTGTCACATAAAAATAAAATTTTCCGTTGCTAGCCCCTTTGAACCTATAGACCTTTCTTTTGGCACCCACATTACAAGCCATACCCCTATTTTGTTCTTAATTTGATATTGATCGAACCTTTACCTCCTAAGGCACTTAGTCGCTAAAAGAAGTAAGGTGAGATATTGGGGAGTAGTTTTTTGAGTGGAACCATGGAAGGGCCCGTTGTTGCATTAAAGTTGAAATCAAAAGTCACTAGCTGATGAACTTTAATGTAAGATGTGTGTGAAGAAAAAGAAAAAAAAAGAAGGAAAGAAAGAAAAATTGCAAGAAAAGAAAAAATGATAGTGAAAGTATGTAGAAAAAAAAAACACACCTCCAATTCTTAATAATTTGTGCTAGTGGGAGTATAGAAGTGCTTAATGAAAGTGAGGGCTATATTGCATATGGGTTGTGGCAAGTGAATTGGTTGAGAAGAATATGTGCTTAAATTGTAAATGTAGTGTATTAAAGTGCTTAGGAGGGTTGGTAACTATTTCTAAATGTATCATACCCGTCCCTTAGCCTACATTACAGCCTTAATGTCCTAATTGATCCTAGATTTGGCTAGCTTAAATTAGTAGAGATATACACTACGGGCGAGCTTATGGTACGACCACGGGATGCATATGAATTCTTTGTGAGAGTGAGCGAATTTTGTTCAATTTTGTCATGTCCTTACGCTATATTCAAAAGCATATTTGAATGTGTGGACTAATCTATATTCACTCTTTTGTTTGTTGGTGAGGGCACATGATCTCATGAATGATTGGTAATGTTGTAAACTTTCTTGTTGGGTGAGTGCGTGAGTTGAGGGTGCTTAGTGGTTACAAGTCGGCATTTGAGGTTGGGTGGTGACAAATAGGTTGTTGGGATTGATTGAATTGAAATGTTATACTTGGGCATGCTTAAACGGGAAGAATGTGAAATTTTGTGTGTTCATGCTTGTGTGCCGGTATTGATCATAGTCAAGGGTATAGTGTGTGGTTAAAAGTTAAAGTGCTCTCTATAATTGAGACTTGTGCGTAGTTGGGGGTTTATTTGATAGTCCTATTGCTCGAGGACGAGCAAGAGTTTAAGTGTGGGGTGTTGATGTTTTGCTTAAAGTATATATATATTTGTATGTATATCGCCTCATATCTTACTTTTGTTTCGTGGATTTAGGATGTGAAATGTATTGATTTATATTAATTTGATGTGTTTTTATGTGTAGAAATGATCTGGGAGCAATCGGGGGAGATATGTGCAAAATTAGAGCCAAAACAAATGAAAGCAGGAAAAATGGGCATTGGAGCGCCACAGGCAGCGCCTAGCGCCACCTGTGGCGCCAGAAACAGAATGATCAAATTCACAGCGCCGTGGAGGGCGCCTGGCGCTAGCCAGGACGCCAATGACGTGAAGGTTCTCCAAATTCGCCTGGGACACGGTTACTTCGGCCTTAGACCTACCCAACACGTATAAAAGCAAGACAAAACTTATTTGTGAAGAGGAGACGCCACTTTGGAGAGGGAATAGACACAAGAAACATGCGGGGAGCAAGAACATCTCAGATTTCTTCATCTTTTCTTAGTATTTTCAATTATCCAAACTTATGAAATTATTTTCTAATATCATGAGTGGCTAAAAATCCATTATTCTGGGGTTGTGATTTAGCCATAAATATTGTTGTTTAACGTTGACTTAAACTTGATTACAATTCACTAATATATGATTGTTTCTTCAATTTTGTGATTAATTGCTTAATTGTCTGGCCAACAGTTAGGTTCTATTTACTATCTATGCTATGCTTGGGAAAGCCGTGTTTAGATTAGAGAAGAATTGAAGAGAGCATGATCTTAACCGTTAGGGGGAGGGGGGGGGGGTAGGGGAGGGGAGGGAGGATTTGTGGTTAGGATAGGAATATACCTAGTCACCGTGCTTAATTAAATATCGTAATCTTAATGCGTTCTTAATAGATTGATTCCATAGGAATATAGGCGTTAATCTATTTTGAATAGGCGAGTAGTACTTCGGGAGAAGACTATGAGAGCAATTATCGATTAATTAGCAACCATGAGTATGAGAGGGAGAGTTGACTAGAACACAATAGAATTGGTGAATCGATCACAATCCTGTAATATTTGTCTCTATTGAATACATAACAATCATTTTACTGCATGATAATTTATTTATTACTTAGAATTGTAGTTTAGTATAATCACACACTTGAACTCGAATTTAGCTTGACTGGGTAACAATATTGGTGAGTTAGTGGGTAGTTGATATAAGTCTCTGTGGGTTCGACGCTCGACTTATCATTTTATTACTTGTACGACCACGTATACTTGCGTGTGCGTTTGGCAGCAACAAGTGCATTTAAGTTTAGAACTTCAAAATATTATTTTGTGACATAATAATTCCTTTAGTTAAATTTTTATCAATGTTTATGTCCTCTTTACACTTGTGCCTCTTCTTGAAGATATAGTACATATTTTCCTTTCTTCTTGGTCTCTCAGTTGCATGTCTCTTGCTGATTTCTTCGTCATTGTAATTTTTCGCCTTTGTTCAGTTTTTGTGGTTGCACTTGTGCATATTTGAAAAAAGATGAACTATAAATATAAATCAATTTCTCTTCTTACTATGTTAACTACTAACTACCCTACAGAGTCGACACTTCTATTGCTTCCTTGTACCACTTTATTGTTTTTCAGTTTGATGAACTTATCATCTAAATGTCTTGTTCTTGGAGAGATTTTAGTCGCGTAAATGAAGAGAAGACAATCAGAACCTAGAACGCAGCCAAAGAGTTAAACAAATTTTTACAAATAGGAGAAAAGGCAAAAATTATGTTGTTAGACCTATCGTAGTTTGCACACTAACTTTTTCCTTCTCTTAAGACTTAAAACGAGGCACATGATATGGGAAGTGTTGGTTTACTAAATAGGAATTGATTCTAACATTGGTGTCATTTTTCTTGATCCTGGCAACCAAATCACTTATGTTTTCGTTCTTAGTTAGGCAATTGTCATAATGGTCTATCTTTTGTACGGCTTGAATTCCTTATCGTAGATATATATTGTTATGTATCAGGCTTTGGATACCAAAGTTTGTGATGAAATAGAGGCTGTTGAGCTAACACGTAAGGTAAGCCTTTTGCTGAACTGCTTAGGTCTCTTTTCAAGTTTAGTGCATAATCCTACTGATGTCTTTATTTTTTTGATTGAGAGATTTTGAAGTAGTTAAAA